ATGAGGTTTCTCCATGTTGGCCAGGCTGGTCTCAAACTCCTGGCCTCAAGTTGTGTGCCCGCCTTGAACTCCCAAAGTGCTGGGGTTACAGGTGTGAGCCACCGTGCCCAATCTTTGCTTCCATTCTTTTCCTCTTCCAGTCTCCAGATTGAAGCTCGAAGCTCTTTTCTGGAGGAAATCTGATTATTCTACTTTTCTGATAAAATTGCCTCAATTACATCCCATAGGAAAAAAAAAAAAAATCTACCACCTGTACTATAACTTCATCTTAAACCACCTTCCCTCTTTACTTTCTGTGTATCAATTGCAGTATCCTGTAATTACTAAAGAATATGGTGCTTCTCCCACCTGTACCCACTATCTTAGTTTGTTAGGGCTGCTATAACAATATACCACACCTTTGGGTGCCTTTAAATAACAGTAATTTATAGTCTTATTGTTCTGGAAGCTGGAAGTTTGAAATCAGTGCTCCATGATACATGCTCCCTCAAGAACCTTTATGGGACTCTTTCCTTGTCCTAACCTAGCTTCTGGTGATTTGCTGGCCATCTTTGCTGTTTCTTGGCTTGTTGATGCCTCATTTCAATCTTCTGTCTTCACATAACATTCTCCCGATGTATCTGTTTCCAAATTTTCCCTTTAAACAAGGACACTAGTCATATTGGGTTAGAGACCACCCTAATGACCTGATTTAAGCCCAATTACCTATGTAAAGACTCTGTTTCCAAATAAGGTCTGTGATACTGGGTGTTGGGTCCTCAATATACCTTTTTTGGAGGGTCACAATTCAAACCATAAAAACCCACCATCAGGCTGGGGCGGTGGCTCACGCCTGTAATCCCAGAACTTTGGGAGGCCGAGGCAGGCGGATCACTTGAGGTCAGGAATTTGAGACCAGTCTGACCAATATGGTGAAACCCCATCTCTACTAAAAATACAAAAATAAGCCGGGCATGGTGGTGGGCACTTGTAGTCCCAGCTACTCAGGAGGTGAGACAATATATTGCTTGAACCTGGGAGGCAGAGGTTGCAGTGTGCCAAGATTGTGCCACTGCAATTACAGCCTGTGTGACAGAGAGAGACTCAGTCTCAAAAAAATAAAATAAAATAAAATAAAATAAAATAAAATAAAATAAAATAAAATAAAATAAAATAATTTAAAAAACCACCATCAACACGGGAGTTTTTCACTTGCTGTTCATTCTCCCAGAAGTCTTTGCAACCTTCACTCTTCTGCCACCTTGCCTGGTTATCCTTCCAAGTTTCAACCCAGAATGACTTTTCTTAGGGAAAATTGAAGTACAATCTAAATATATTTTTCTCAGTTCATGTATATAGTTGGCCTTACCTTCGTAACAGTTGTCACATCTGTAATTTACATTTACTGGTGAGATTATTTGATTAATATTTGTCTGCTTCACAAATGGTACAGACTTCACAATTTGGGAAGTATTTTTCTACTTCACACAAAACCGTTTTTGCCCAGTGTTGGATCACTAGCATTTGGAATACCATAGTAGGTATTCAATAAATGTTTTATTGCATAAATGAATCATGGATCAGATCAGCTATGACAAAAAGGTATGCTAGAAGTTTCAGTATCTCTACTATCACTAACATGTTCATGAGAACATAAATTGATTATTTCCATATAATTCAAATAACACAATATTAATTTCTAACAGGTACAAATTATTTCAGAAAATAATTTCTCTAGCATTAGACTAATTAGACTAGCCAGAAGAATCAATGTGCTTTGCAGTTTACTTTGAATTATCTGTGCTACAGGAGTTGGACAAGGCTTTAAGCCTGCTTGTGTTATTCCACTTCTCCTTTTAGTCACAAAAACTCAACTATCTAAATATCTAAATCGCAATCATTAGATGCCAGAGCAAGCAACAAAGCAAAAGATTATAATGAGGTTTGAGGGATATTCAGTTCAGTACAACAAATTTATTGACAAGTGCTTGACTTTGAAACACCAATACAGAAATAATTCCTATATTGAGATAAATGCTATGTAAGTTATAATCAACATGAGCAGGAACATAAATGCCCACATACAATTTCTTTATATATTTTACTTTTGTTTTAATGTTACACATAAAGGCTTTGAGATTCAAAAATGCAAAATGGCAAAATTCTACTTCTGATTCTTTGATAGGTATCTCTAACACACGCACATATATAATATATAAGTATCTAACACATATATATTGTGGAGGAGAAATATATATATTTCTCTTCTAAAATAAATGGTCATATTTATTTCTCTACTAAAATAAATGGTTATATTCAAAAGCTATAATCTGTATCTATATTGTCTCTGAAGACTGGCATAATTGGCTTAAAATTCTAGCTTTTTCTCTTATTATCTGGATCATTATGAGCAATTCCTATAATCTTTTAAGTCAGTTTTCTTTTCTGTAAAATAGAGGTAATAGTATTATTCTAGTGGTTGGATTATTATGGCTATTAATATATATGATGTATGTAACCATATTACATACATTATGTACCCTAGTTACGGTTAACAATCAATAATTTTTTTATTATTATCTTCACCAACATAAGCATGAGAGATGAATTTTAAAGTCACCTATTTGAAACATATGCATTTTTTTCTTTGTAGAGTTCACATTGTTTTCCTAAACTTAGGTACTTTTTTATCATTATTTTTTCTTTTCTCTTTCTGTAAGCTTTATTGAGGTATACTTGATATACAAAAAATGCACATATTTAATGTATACATTTTGATGAGTTTGGACAAACGTGATATCACCACAATCAAGGCACTAAACGTATCAATCACCTCGAAAAATGTCCTTGTATTCTTTTGTGTGTGTATTTGTTGTGTGTGTGTGTGTGTGTGTGTTAAGAACACTTAACATGAGATCTATCCTTTTAACATAATCAAGTTCATGATACTTTATTGTTAACTATAGATACTTTATTATACAGCAGACATCTAGAACTTCTTTATCTTGCATTATTAAAAGTTTATACCCATTGAGCCCCCAGCAATCATCATCTGTTCTATACTTTCATAAATTTCACTCTTTTAGATACTACATATATTTGAAATCATGCAGTGAATTAAGCCAGTCACAAAAGGACAAATATGATTATTTTTTAAATCTAAGTTTCATGTTTACCTAATAGCTGTTATACATAATGAATTAAGACTATTATCTTTAGGTAAATAATGACTATAGTTAGTATTAAGAATATAATATAGATAATTTTCACAAAATCTTCTGAAGATTTAATTCTGCCCAGTAGTTATAACAGCAAAGAGTTACAAACATATTGATGAAATATCCTTATTTTAAAATATTTATTCTTAAGGTTAACATTTTTTGGCCTATGCGATATTCATTCTCTGATGAAAGTATTACCTCTGAAAATTTTTCATAAATCAAAATATATTTTATAAACATAAAATGACCAAAAGTAGAATTGAAACAATATAAAGATTGTGTTTTATTAAAATACAGAAATCTAATTGTTTGGTACATATTATTTTTGCCTCTGAACGTTAGCTAGAATTTGGCAATTAGCCATGCTATCTCCAGTTCAAAATTGGAAGTTGCTTCTTTCAGCTATATTGTTACTACCTGTACTAAGTTAATAAAGCATGACTTTACTTACCATGTTTACAGAATTCCTAACTTCCCCAAGAAGTTGCCCTCCAAAAGTCATATTTAAGTGTGCTTTAAGTATACTTTTTAGAAGCTCAAATATATTTTTCCGTTGCAACAGTATTATATGTAGTTACACAGATAGGCACCATGAAGACGTTCATGATGCAGTATGAATTCATTATGAGGTATAACAGGAAGGCATAACCTCAATCAAACTTGATTTATTAATCATGGAAATTCTGAACTTGTCTCTTGCTGCTCTTAAATGGGTTTGTGGACCATATCTTTTATAGGAGTTTCTCATCTTTGTCAAGTATGTGGTATAATCCATATTATTTCTCCAGAATTATATTTTTTAAAGTTAAACATACATAGGAGACATGAAGGTTTTGAGCTGTGAAACCAGTATTTGTAAGCACTTGTTAAGTGCCTTTCCAATTCCATTCAACAGACATTTATGGATTCTAATGTGTTAGGCACAACACCAAATCATTAATATCTTTCACTTACATCAGAGGTCCCCAGTTCCCCGGGTCAGGGACCAGTACCAGTTCCTGGCCTGTTAGGAACCAGGCTGCACAGCAGGAGGTGAGTGGTGGCTGGTGAGCTAGGGAACTTCATCTATATTTACTGCCATTCCCCAGTGTTCGCCTTACTGCCTGAGCTCTGCCTCCTGTCAGGTCAGCGGCACTAGATTCTCATAGAGAGCAAACCCTATTATGAACTGTACGTGCGAAGGATCTAAGTTGAGTGTTCCTTATGAGAACTTAATGTCTGATGACCTGTCACTGTCTCCCATCAACCCCAGATGGGACCGTCTAGTTGCAGGAAAACAAGCTCAGGGCTCCCACTGATTCCACATTATGGTGAGTTGTATAATTATGTTATTATATATTACAATGGAATCACAACAGAAATAAAGTGTGCAATAAATGTAATGCCCTTGAATCATCCCCAAACCATCGCTCCTTCACCCACTGCCAGTTCATGGAAAAAACTATGTTCCATAAAACCGATCCTTGGTACCAAAAAGGCTGGGCACCACTGACTTATATCTGTTGATCCTCACTTTACCTCAAGAGATGGGTGTTCTTATTTCGATTTTAAAAATAATAAAGCTGAGGTTCAAAAAGTTCAAACAAGTGTCAGAATAGAATTTGAACCTAGATCTACCTGATTCCTAGACTACGCCATGCTTACTGTTCTACGCTGCCTCTACTCAAGCAGTCCTTATCAACTGGTTTCCCAAAAGAGCAATGACTGTAATTATTGAAACACCTTTGAAATACCTTTGAAACTCCTTTCAAACTGTTATAAAGAAAACCAACAAAATGGTTTTGTTTGTTTTTTATATAGGTATATGGCGATTATTGATCCCCTGAAACCCAGACTGTCTGCCACAGCAACCAAGATTGTCATTGGAAGTATTTGGATTCTAGCATTTCTACTTGCCTTCCCTCAATGTCTTTATTCCAAAACCAAAGTCATGCCCGGCCGTACTCTCTGCTTTGTGCAATGGCCAGAAGGTCCCAAACAACATTTCACGTAAGTTAATTCTCTATTATGATTTTCAATTCAGTTTATCAAACACTTAAGAAACTACAGATTAGGAGCAACAATTAAACAAATAAGACAGACATTTCCCCCAGGGTTCATACATTATTTGGAAAAGGAAATATATAAAAATACTGTAATATAGTATTATTTGTATGTGGTCAATAAGTTTGTGTAAGTTACTAAGGTTTTTCATTGGAAATATGAGAATGTCTATGTGGGATGGTACTGGGGAGTTTCCTGATGGAAGTGATAAAAGATAAAAACAATGTGCAAAGAAAAGCATTGTGTTATTGATTGAGAAATGAGTGAGAAGAAAGAAATCAAAGCCCAAATGTGTTGATTGCTCTTTTAGGGAGCTTAGCAGAACGGAAGGAGCACTCTAGTAAGTTATCTAATTTTATTTTGGTTTGATTTGGTTTATGTTCTTTTGCTTACAAGCAAAAAGCATTAAAAACCTTCAACACTAGATTGAAAAGGAAATATTAATATTATAATATATGGTAAAATTTGGTTCATATTTTATACCCACCTCAAATCAAGCAAAAAGGAATAATAATGTAATTGTGTAGTTGTTTGCATTTTACTTTTAAATTATAGTCATTTAAATTTTATTTCAATAAAATGCTTATTTTTCTATTTTACTCATCAATTTGTCCCTTTAAAAATAGCAAATGGTGCAAATAATGGTTGTCTTTTAAAGCAGTCATTTTATCTACCTTTGCTCTACCCAAAGTTCAGATTTCTGAACAAAAATATTAAGAAGCACTTATTTAAGGAAAATCAGGCAGCGTATATTAGAAACTGAGTACTATATGCTACTCATTATTATTAATACATCTTAATTGTATGATAATGTTATCATCTTCAAATTATTTGTTGACTGAATTACTTCCTCATTGACTTTAAATCAATACTTAGTAATCTACTGAGAAACGGAAAGGCAAGGATATTTAAGATTCACTTTACAAAGAAAAACCACTGGTATGGAGAAGACTGTTATAACAAACTTCTAAATTACTTTAAAGCTTTCCAAGACAGTGAAATCCACACAAAAGATTGTAAAATTCTATTTGGGCTATTATAATATGGTTTACTCTCCTTTTCCTCTCTAATTGAATTCTTATAATTTTGATTGAAAGCTACTAAATACCAGAATTTAATTTGATAATTTACAGCAGCATACTTCTGGTTTGACTACTATGTCAACATGTTTTGTTTTGTTTTGTTTTGTTTTGTTTTGTTTTTACCAAGTTAATAATGCAATCAAATGGACCGTGGCTCTGGAAAATTGCATGTAAATGTCTTTACCTGATTTTTAAAAATTGTAGTAACTTGTGGATTCATTATGGCTCAGACTATCTACTTACTTTTTTCCTCCCATTTGAATGAAAAACAATTTACGTATGTCTGATGTTGCAGCAATATAGAAGATAGTCCTATATAGGAGAAAATATATGCCAGTTGATTTGTTTATTCTATCCCTTCCCTTTTCCTCCAATGACACATTTAATTAGTTTAGCTAAACAATTACCAAGCAGAATACAAAGCAGTGGAAAGTCGTTCATCCTCAACCTCTAGGCAAGGAGAACATGTGTTTAACTGAGCCCTTCAACCCAGCTATAGTTTTCATATACCAAGTAAAGATTGACAAACGTCAACTGGCAGCATTTGAAACATAAATGTAAGTGACAATAGCATGATATTTTGATGGAATTTTGAGATGAATGTATAGAAATAATGTAGAAATAACTCTTGGTAGTTTCAATTATGATTTAAAACTAAGCAAACGCAGTCCCCACTATTTCATTCCAATATGGTTTCAGCATGTGTGTTTCTTATTTTTTGTAGTTACCACATTATCGTCATTATACTGGTGTACTGTTTCCCATTGCTCATCATGGGCATCACATACACCATTGTTGGAATTACTCTCTGGGGAGGAGAAATCCCAGGAGATACCTGTGACAAGTATCATGAGCAGCTAAAGGCCAAAAGAAAGGTACTGGTCCATGTTGTTTACCTAGCATTTGTATAGGTTATGGTACATCAGAAAGAAAAACAATCTAGTCATGTCATGTTAATACAATATGATCTGATGCTCTACTCCTATTTTTAATGTCTTTGTTTTTTTTCTTTTGGTTTTGTATAAGTCACTGTCTACATACTACATCAGTTTGCTATATAATAGTTACTTCATTACAGAAATACTTCTTAAAAAGTATCTTTTGTAAAGTATTCTTACTCTGCTGAAATTGCTAAAATTTTACCAAATTTCACTATTCCAGTTGATTGTATTTTTGCAACTCTGTCTTTCTTTGTCATTTATTGAAAAGAATGCCTCTGATGTATTCTATAATCTACTCAAAGCTTCTTTTATTCCAGGAATGACATCTCTTCTAGAAAGTCCAATAATTTTCTAATAGATATCTAACTTTCCTCCATCCCCTCTTGTCTCTCTTTATTTCTCTCGCTTTCTCTGTGTGTTCTTTCTCCTGATAAGATATTTTATATATATGCATGATTAAAGGATAAGGATTGTATTAATACTATTCTACAATTTATTGAGTGACATGAAAAAGGCTGTTTCTAATTTACATGAAACAAAAACATCTCTAAAAATATTATGTCTATATTTTACTATGATTATTTTTGTTAAGATTTTTTCTACTACCATTATGCGACTAAATAAGTTAGATTTTTCATAAATATGTGGAGTTAAAAGGAAATACATTCCATCCTTTTCTCCACAGTTGGTATGTACCTAATGCGTCTTGGAGAGGTTTTATCAAAGATAAATGAGTCCTATTGATTATGCCAATGATTATTATTTGTTCCATTTATGACTAATTTATTTACATAGTACTACTAGCAACACATGAACATTTCCTTTAAAAAACACTCAACAGTCTTAAAAACACTTAGCTACAAAAACTCACTTAACAATGATCAATCAGGTTTTAAAAATGCAATTTACAAAATGGATTGCATTTTAATAGTGTGTTTTCTCTGATATTGACAAATAATACTAGACCATATTTATGTTTGGTTAACATTTATAATGATTTCTAGTATTTGAAAACAAAAAGTAAGAATGAGCTTTTCCAGATCAATTTACTCATTTCAGGTTGTACAAAAATGTATCTACTATGTATGTCATTCAATTTTATTTTTCTTTCAAAAAGCTTTTCTTAAAAATAATGTGCATGAACAACCAAATGGCCTCTGGCACCTACAAATGAATCCTAAAGTGAGGAGAGTTTCAAAAACATGGCCCTCTTACATGAACAGTATCTCTTTCCCCTTTGTAATTTCAACCTGCCTTATATAACATCTCGCTCATGTTGAAAGATACTCTCTTCTTGGGATAATTTCTTTTTTTTTTTTTTTTTTTTCCTCCTCTTACAAACAGAGGTTTTATTGTGTTTGGTCCACAATCGTATTTCACATTATCTCATGGAGCAGGGCTCCTGGGTGGGGGTCCCTGTGCAGTACTTGGCGGGGCGTGTGGCCGGGGGAAGATGGAGCAGTATAGCTTGTTGAGACCAGAAAGGAGGAGGGTTCGGGGCTCCTTAAAACCTACTGAGGGGCCGGGCATGGTGACTCACACCTATAATCTCAGCACTTGGGGAGGCCAAGGCGGGTGGATCACATCTAAGGCCAGGAGTTCGAGACCAGCCTGGCCAACATAGAGAAACCCCGTCTCTACTAAAAATACAAAAATTAGCCGGGCTGGTGGAGCACCTGCAGTCCCAGCTACTCGGGAGGCTGAGGCTGGAGAATTGCTTGAGCCTGGGAGGTGGAGGTGCAGTGAGCCGAGATTGCGCTACTGCACTCTAGCCTGGGTGACAGCCACAACTAAAACAAAACCTACTGAGGCCAGAGTGGGTTGGGGGGCAGGTAGCATGGAGAGGGGATCAGGCTTAGCCCAACAACTCAGAATTTCACTTCCTCGTACAGCCTTCACTTTCCCCACCTGGCCCTGGGGCAGGTCTGAGGGTCTGAGGTCTGTTGGTCCTGGAGAAATCCAGTCACTCGGGAGCTGGAGATATTTAGCATCATGGCCGGGCCCCCTTTCCCAGGTGACTGATTTCCCAGCACCTTCTCCACTGTCCCTGCCCCATTCCTCAGGAATAAAAAGCAAAATGTATTTTTCTTTTGTGAATAATTCCTGAAACTTGCAGAGAAACCACAAACTGCTCAGCTGACAAAAGGGGGAAGAGGCGAGGCAACCAGAAACCTTTGGGAACCAGTTAGTCTCTTCTCCCCAGCACAGCCTGAACGTGCCAGCAGGGACCCTCGCCCTACACGCCCTACACGTATCGGGATATGGCCTTGACCTCCCTCCCCCACAGCCCGGTGGCTCAGCCCTGCGAAGGCCCAAGGCAAAGGGGAAAAAAGCTCTGCTGCCTGATCCCACACTGCCACTCACAGACCCTCGGTTGATTGGCAGCACTGAACCGGCTAAGAAAAAAAACAAAGATGAAAACACAGAAAAACCCAAAAACCCAGACGGGGAGATGATGTGGGAAGAGAGAGTGCTGGGAGCCTCAGTAGCCGGCCTCCTCCTGGTAGTAAGGGGGATATTCAGGGACCTCCCCTGGGTCCGGGCAGTCGCCGGCGCCTGAGGGAGCCCCATCGGCCACTGTGCCTTGTGGGCAATACTTGGGGGTCATATATCTGTCGGCCCAGGCTGAAGACCTGGCCGCTCTGGTTGGCGCCCTGCGTGTAGCCCATCTGCAGGGACATGGAGGAGTTGTCACACTTGTCGGTTCCCAGCTTGGTGTCATAGATGTGCCGCCACGTCCCGGGAGCCGTCATGCCCACCTGGCTCGCACACTTGTTTGTGCCCATCTGGAGGCTGATGGTCGAGTGGTCCATGGGGGGCAGGATATGGTTCTTGGGGTCATAGAGATGCCTCCTCGTGCCGTACGCGGTGATGCCCGACTGGCTGGCTCATTTGTTGGTGCCCATCTGCAGCCCGATGACACACTGGCCGGCCTTCATGGTGGCGTCATCGAAATTCCGCTCCTGCTTCTCCGAGTACTTGACGCCGATGTCCACCCCGCTCTGCAGCCCCTTAGTCTTGGCCTTCCCCGCCAGGGCGAGAAGAGACACCTGCACCTGTGTCATGTTCCCACTCTCAAACAGGTCGTTGGCCTCGAACAGGTCCACGGGGTTCATGCCGTAGCTGACCATGGCCTTGATGAAGTTGGACAGGTTTTCTAGCTGGTGCCAGTTCTGCATGGAGCGGTTGATCTTGGGGACGGAGCCCGGCTGTAGCTTGTTCATGAGTGTGCATAAGATAGTTCCGTCCTTCAGGCCTTTCTGGAAGTCGGGGCCGATGGAGAGGCCGGTGAGTCCCTCGATCCAGGTGAGGAGCTCTGCCTCCTTCTGGGGGTCATATTTGGACAGGAGCCGGTTCTTGACCTCGGCCGACAGCCCGTACGAGGGGCCCTTGTTGAACTGAGTGGAGCTCATGGCTGGCTGGCGGGCAGCGGGACGGGGCCGGACGGGACGGGACCTTGGGATAATTTCTTAGCGCTATATCTTAGGTATCATCACAGTAAATAACTGGTGTTATGTTCTGTGTATTTCAGAATAATTTCTCTATAGTACCTGCTTAGTTTCTGTCTTTTATTTCTTTCATATTAGTTCAGATTTTTTTAAACATTTCACTATGCACTCCTAAACAAATTAAAATAAACCCAGTAATTGTAGATTATAGTTTCTCTTCATATGCATGTAATGTTTTTCTAGAAAGAGATAAAAATTTAATCTGAGTGTTTCTTTTATTTTTGAATTCAGTGTCCCAGAGGGAACACAAAGGAAGAGGGATTTTTTTTTTAATTTTGTCTCTATATAAATGGTGAGAGTAAGGCAAAACATTTCCTTTTGATTTCATTACTCCACAACTTCAAAGTAGAAATACTAATTCAGACTGGGAGTGTAACCCTTCTAGAATACTTCAAAAAAGTAAGACATTTTAAAGTTCCAGTATATATGTCTTCCTCTTGGTTTGTATTCTAGGCTAAAATAATACGAAATGGCCCTTTATGTCATGGACTTCTCAAATAAATCTCTTTGTCCTTGGATTTCTTTTTACTGTCAGTTATTGGTATGACCGTTGATATCTAGGCACTAATACGCATATTGCTGAAAATAATAAAATTTTAAAATATAGCTGGCTCTTCTCTTAATTTTTTTCTCTTTACCTAAAATCAAAATATTAGTCTGGAATTGTTTACAATACAGCTATTACTAGCAATCATGTTATTTTGGATTTTTTCATATGATTACTTAAAACACAGTAGTTTTACCCTGGATGGGCCGTTTATTCATATGTTGTCTCCTAGAGAATACACCTTTGATATTACAGATTGGACATGAGACATTAAAAAAAAGGCTCATGGCTACATGAGTGCAAACTAATCATGACTATTGGGAAAAACCATTCTATACACTACTCTAAGCCAGACTCTTAATTATAAAAGACTACACGGAGTGGAGCAGGATGGTCAAATAGAAGCCTCCACTGATCATCACTCCAGAAGGACACCAATGTAACAACTATCTACACACAAAAAATAATCATTTCATAAGAACCAAAAATCACGAGAGCTCTCACAGTATCTGATTTTAACGTCATATAGCTGAAAGAGACACTGAAGAATGTAGTAAAGACAGTCTTGAATTGCCAGTGACACCCCCATCCCATCCCCAGCAGCAGCCATGTGGCATGGAGAGAGGATCTGTGCCCTTGGGAGAGAGAGCACATAACAATTGTTAGACATTGCTTGGAATTCAGTGCTGCCCTGTCACAGGAGAAAGCAAAATTGACCTGAATCTAGCTGATGCCTGTGCATAGAGGGAATATTTAATCCAGCCCTAGCCAGACGGGAGTCACCCATCCCATGGGTCAGAAGTTGAGTTCCTCTACGCCTCACCACAGTGGGCTAAAGTCCCCTGGGGCTCTAAATAAACTTTAAATGCAGTATAGGC